AGCAAATGAGATGAGGTATGGAATTTTTATGTTAGTTTTGTATGTTCTCTGGGCTGGGTTAAGACTGGGTTTTCTCTTTTATGGTGAAGTTGCAGCCGTCTGGGAAAGCTTGGATGCCCAGAGATCCTGCCCACCATACGGTTAGTGTCAGCTCTTCAGTGAAGATTTGTACTAGATGACTACCCACCCCCGAAAAAAAGAGCTCTCTGAGGTGGAATCAGACATGTCTTGGTGAAAAGTTTTCATAATAGAAAGAAGAGGAGACACCATCCCTGGAAAAAAAGTTGTGTATTTATTTTATAATCTGTCCTAGGACCATTCTCATTCTCCCGCTCACTCACTCAGACAGTTCATCCCAGCCTTAATGAAAGTTTGTGATACATAAGGCACTTGGATATAGATCAACAAGGGGTACCGGGTAAAGGTACAAAAATGTGAGAGGAACTAGAAAACCACCTTTGACGTTGATAAAGGACGTTCTGGAGAGTTCTCAGAATTACTTCCAAGCAGGTCAGCATGTGGAAGTGACACTGTGTTCACATGTTCCTCTCTCACTTTTTATTCCTCGTTGCCTAGGCACCCAGTGGACATACCTCTCTGATAGTTTGATTTAACGCCTGCCTAGAACCTACACCTAAGTTTTCATTTCCATTCCAATGCAAACTTACCTGACACAGGTCCTATTCCTCTCTCCTGGAAAATAGCCATAGTAAACAATTTCCTTTTGAGAGGTTTAGTTGACCATGTGATTGGCTCCCCAACATCCAATCTCCCTCCCCATCTGTGAAGAGAATTATGGATGACAAGCGGCTACATGTGACTGGGAGCAGAAGCCTCTGGGAGTTGCAGTGTGCCTCAGACCCTGTTCTGTGAGACACGAATTTTGGGAGATATTCACATGTACTCTATAAATAATTTTTAAAATGGAATGAACATGGGAAACATAACATAACATTCTATCCTCCCTTGGAAATTCTCAAGAAAGGTTAGCATAGTAAAGGCTTAATATCCTGCAGTAAGAAAAAAAAGCACTAATTTAATCTAGTTTATCTTAGGAGTAATCCCAGGTGGCAAAAATGTTTGCCTATGGAACGATGGCCCACAGAACACGAGTTTGGAAAATACACACCCAAGCTTACGAAGTGGAGAAAGAACGTAGCAATGGAGGGATTTCAGATGACTCCCTCCAAACAGCAGAGTGTAGAAATGTCTAGAATCCTGCATCTTCAGGCCAAGTTGCCCCTCCTCTGCAGGATCTTTCAGTCCTTGGGGTCCCTCCTCTGGTCTCTGCTTCCCACCCAGAGAAGACTCTGTAGGCAGGGCCTCGTTCTGCTCATACTGCTCCTCCTCTCAGACCATTTCTTCTCTCTGCACCTCCGCGTGCTGCTACCAGGTGCAGGTTCACAGTTGCCTCACGGGGGTGGGGGCTTCATTTTCCTGCTTATTTGGCTCCGTTCCCTTCCTGCAGTGTCACGTGTTATCAGTGGAGCAAGGCTATGCCTTGTGGCAAAGACCCCACAAGCACAAAGCCCCAGCTTCGTTTTAAAGTATATATACTTCCCTGTTTTAAAAGGAACTATAATAAACATGCTCTCCAACTTGCCCTGCACGCGATTTTAACCTATAAAGGACCATCGTTACAGTGACTTGGGCTGTTGTCAGTTTGGTTTAGTTCAGGCCTGGAAATAGCATTTCTCTTGATGTCTGCGTGTCTATATTTGAATGTCTTATAAATGTGCCTTTGAACGGAACTTATAGCTCTGCTCCAATCTGCTCCTGAGTTCAGGCCTGTGCATATCCCCTAGGGCGAATCATTCCAAGTGTGTCCCCTTCATTAACATGGGAGTAAATGTGCTTCGTAAAACACGGGGCAAGGCTTGGGGTGCATATGGTCATCATGTGCTCTCCTGATTGGCTGGAAATCGATTCTAGAGACCATCGTTACAGTGACTTGGGCTGTTGTCAGCTTGGTTCAGTTCAGTCCTGGAAATAGTATTTCTCTTGATGGCTGTGTGTCTATATTTGAATGTCTTATAAATGTGCCTTTGAACGGAACTTGTAGCTCTGCCCCAATCTGCTCCTGAGTTCAGGCCTGTGCACGTCCCCTAGGGCGAATCATTCCAAGTGTGTCTGCTTCATTAACATGGGAGTAAATGTGCTTCGTAAAACGCGGGGCAAGGCTTGGGGTGCATATGGTCAGCATGTGCTCTCCTGATTGGCTGGAAATCGATTCTACAATAACAAGTGGAAATGTAATGCTTTGTGTTGTGATAGTACCACATTATAGCAGTTTTAGGGAATTAAGTTTCTGTGCTCTCACATTCCTATTTACAAATGTTATTCATATATATATGTGTGTGTGTATATATATGTGGGGGTGATCGTTTGTGTTTATATTTATCTCTCCCCCAAGTGGGATGAAATAATAATGTTTATAACAAGAAAAACATCAAAATAATGATAACAAGTCTGACCAGAAGGAAACACCTGTCTGGAAAACGAAGGCCATGCTTGGAGCACTTTCTCATAAAGTCAGGCCGCGACAAGAAGAGTGGCAATCATTATTTGTCGTTGGGGTTCACCTTTTATGGAGCTAAAAGTTACTGGATGTACTCATGCAGTAAAAATTTGCAGGATAGTCTATGATGCCTGCCAAGTTACGATGGTGTTTTGAAACAGAATATGGTGAGAGTAAAAATCAGGCTATTGACATCTCACCTCTCACAGTCTTGAGATTCACTGTTCTTAGAAAAGTGAAAATGAACTAAAATTAAATCTGACAGTGGCCCTGGCCGGTGTGGCTCAGTTGGCTGAGCACCCGACATCCCTTGGACCTATAGTTCGCTGGTTCGATTCCCAGTCAGAGCACATGGCCAGGTTGTAGGCTCATTCCCTACTAGGGGGCACACAGGAGGCGGCTGATGGATGTTTCTCTCTCTCTCTCTCTCTCTCGCTCGCTCTTTCTCTCTCTCTCTCTCTCTCTCGCTCGCTCTTTCTCTCTCTCTCTCTCTCTCTCGCTCGCTCTTTCTCTCTCTCTCTCTCTCTCTCCCTCTCTCTCTCTCTAAAATCAATAAGAACATATATTTTTTTAAAGATCTGACAATGAAAATTCACATGCAGCATCAAAGTATACACTCTGTGAGGGAGAAGGGAATGCTCCATCAGGAGAAAACATTGGTAAACATTCTATTACTGGCCACGTGACTGGCTACTATAAAAATTTCACCACTGCCACTGACTGACAGGAGCATAGTGTGGAATGCGAGACTGATCACCCAGTTTGCTTGATGAATTAATTCAGAGGCTGAGACTTTGTGAAATCTTTACAGATCTAGTGGATGAGGCTCTGCTTTGCTTGCCGTTGTACTTTAAGTCCATGTAGGAAATATGTGAGAAAAATGCACTACTATCTCAAACTTTTGACGTGCACACAACAGAAGAAGAGAATTTGGGTGTTTAGACCCGTTTTTATCACACCATCAAATAAACTGGCAAAAATATAAGCTAGCTGAACAGACAACGGGAAAACAATGGCAGGGGACAAAGTCAGAAGGGACAGTCCATTTCGGAACCATTACCAAAGTTAATTTAGTGTTCACTGAGTTGATGTGTCCTAGCTATTGATAGATGACAGATTCTTTCAGAATTACATTGAATAGTGTCATACCAATGGTTAATTTTAGTATTTACATTGTAAATTTTCATGTTTGATACCTGAAACATGAACAATATGAATAATGAGCTCTAAAATTTACTTTTTCATGCCAAATATCAATGCCACATGAGATTAAAAAAAATCACTGGTGTTTGTTTATGGTTACTGTTGTTGGTAAAGAAACTCCATTACCACATTATCTCTCACATATAATAAGGTTAGACCATTGTACTGTTTTTTAAATATATATAATAGATTTTAATTTTTAGAGCATTTTTAGGTTTACAGAGAAAAACTGAGCAGAAACTATAGATTTCCCACATACCTTTACCCCCAACATACACACACAGTTTCCCCCAGTGTAGTACACTCGTTAGAATTGTTGGACTGCTATGGGATACACTATTATTAACTAAAGTTCATAGCTTACATTGGCGTTCACTATGTGTGTTTTACAGGTCTGTGGGTTTTGACAAATGTGTAATCTCCAGTGCTCGTCATTCACTGTCACACAGAGCAGTGTCACCCCTATGGACTGCTTTCATTTTAATAACCTGAAAGAGCCCACCTGGGAAGTCAGAGTAACAGTGTTACCTTGCTCACAACCTCAGATAAAGCACCAGCAACTAACATGAAACACATTTCATTGCCATTCAACACATTTCCA